ACTAATTCACCCACTCACCCATTCACTCACCCATTCACTCACCAATTCACCCACCCAGTCACTGATTCACCCACTCACCCATTCACCCATTCACTCACCCATTAACTCACCAATTCACCTTCCCATTCACTCACCAATTCACTCACCCATTCGTTCACCCATTCACTCACCCATTCACCCACCCGCTCACTAACTCACCCTTTCACCCATTCACTCACCAATTTACCCACCTGCTGAATAATTCACCCACTCACCCATTCACTCACTCACTCACTCTCCAATTCACCCACTCACCCATTCATCCACCCATGCACTCACCAATTCACCCACCCGCTCACTAATTCACCCACTCATTCACTCATCACCAATTCACTCACCCATTCACTCACTCATTCACTCACCAATTCACCCACCGCTCACTAATTCACCTACTCACCCATTCACTCACCCACTCACCCATTCACTCACCCACTCACCCATTCAACCACCCACTCACTAATTCACCCACTCACCCGTTCACTCACCTATTCACTCACCCATTCACTCACCAATTCACCCACCCACTCACTAATTCACCCACTCACCCATTCACTCACCCACTCACCCATTCACCCACCCACTCACTAATTCACCCACTCACTAATTCACCCACTCACCCATTTACTCACCCACTCACCCATTCACCCACCCGCTCACTAATTCACCCACTCACCCGTTCACTCTCCCATTCACTCACCAATTCACCCACCCACTCACTAATTCACCCATTCACTCACCCATTCACCTACCCACTCACTAATTCACCCATTCACTCACCCACTCACCCATTCACCCACCCGCTCACTAATTGACCCACTCACCCATTCACTCACCCACTCACCCATTCACCCACCCACTCACTAATTCACCCACTCACCCATTTACTCACCCACTCACCCATTTACTCACCCACTCACCCATTCACCCACCTGCTCACTAATTCACCCACTCACCCGTTCACTCTCCCATTCACTCACCAATTCACCCACCCACTCACTAATTCACCCATTCACTCACCCATTCACCTACCCACTCACTAATTCACCCACTCACCCATTCACTCACCCACTCACCCATTCACCCACCCGCTCACTAATTCACCCACTCACCCATTCACTCACCCACTCACACATTCACCCACCCACTCACTAATTCACCCACCTGCTCACTAATTCTCCCACTCTCCCATTTACTCACCCACTCACCCATTCACCCACCCGCTCACTAATTCACCCACTCACCTGTTCACTCACCCATTCACTCACCCACTCACCCATTCACCCACCCGCTCGCTAATTCACCCACTCACCCGTTCACTCACCCATTCACTCACCCATTCACTCACCAATTCACCCACCCACTCACTAATTCACCCACTCACCCATTCACTCACCCACTCACCCATTCACCCACCCACTCACTAATTCACCCATTCACTAATTCACCCACTCACCCATTTACTCACCCACTCACCCATTCACCGACCCGCTCACTAATTCACCCACTCACCCATTCACCCACCCATTCACCCACCCACTCACTAATTCACCCACTCATCCATTCACCCATCCGCTCACTAATTCACTCACTCACCCATTCACTCATCCATTCCCTCACCCATTCACCCACCCGCTCACTAATTCACCCACCCGCTCACTAATTCACCCACTCACCCATTCACTCACCCATTCACTCACCCATTCACTCACCCATTCACTTACCCACTCACCCATTCACTCACCCACTCACCCATTCACTCACCCACTCACTCACCCATTCACTCACCCATTCACTCACCCATTCACTCACCCATTCACCCACCCATTCACCCACCCACTCACTAATTCACCCACTCATCCATTCACCCATCCGCTCACTAATTCACTCACTCACCCATTCACTCACCCATTCACTCACCCATTCACTCACCCATTCACTCACCCACTCATCAACCATTCCTCTCCACTTCTCCCCCTCTTTCCTACCTCTCATCCCTCTCATCTCTCTCTCCCCCAGGTCTCGTCCCTCGGTTTCTCCACCTCCCACGCCTTCAAACCCCAGAGGAATCCCTCCTCGGCTTCTGTGGATTTCCACCTCATCGGAGCCTCCGCGGATTTCTGCTCCGTTGGAACTTCCGCAGATTTCTACTGCGACCAGGAGCTAGGCCTCTTGAACTCTATTGAACTCTGCCCCGAAGAGAAACAGAGACTCAGAGGCCGGAGGTCAGAGGTTGGAAAAGAGAGAGAGATGGAGAGAGACGGAGAGAGAAGACACAGAGAGAGAGAGGGCGAGATGGCTTCACTCAAATCTACAACTATTATAACATAAATGATATAGCCTAATATATAGGAGAGGAGGAGGAAAGAGAGAGAGACACACGGAGAGAGAGAGAGAGGCATGGTAAGAGAGAGATGGGGAGAGAGACACACATAGAGATACATGGGGAGTGAGCGAGAGACACGGAGAGTGAGAGATGGGGAGAGAGAGAGAGATGGGGAGAGAGTGAGAGAGACACAGAGAGAGATACATGGGGAGAGAGAGATACACGGGGAGAGAGCGAGACACACGGTGAGAGATACATGGGGAAAGAGAGACACGGAGAGAGAGACACACGAAGAGAGAGAGAGACACGGAGAGAGAGAGACACACAGAGAAAGACAGAGGCATGGTAAGAGAGAGATGGGGAGAGAGACACAGAGAGAGACACGGAGAGTGAGAGAGAGACACGAAGAGAGAGAGAGAGAGACACGAAGAGAGGGAGAGACACAGAGAGGGAGAGAGAGACATGGTAAGAGAGAGATGGGGAGAGAGACACAGAGAGAGACACGGAGAGTGAGAAAGAGACACGAATAGTGAGAGAGAGACACGAAGAGAGAGAGACACGAAGAGAGAGAGACACGAAGAGAGAGAGACACGAAGAGAGAGAGACACGAAGAGAGAGAGAGACACAGCGAGGGAGAGAGAGGCATGGTAAGAGAGAGATGGGGAGAGAGACACAGAGAGAGATACATGGGGAGAGAGAGAGACACGGAGAGTGAGAGACACACAGAGAGAGAGAGAGACACAGAGAGAGACAGAGGCATGGTAAGAGAGAGAGAGATGGGGAGAGAGACACACGGAGAGAGAAACGTGGAGAGAGAGAGAGAGAGACACGGGGAGAGAGAGACACACGGTAAGAGAGATAGATGGGGGAGAGAGACACACGGTGAGAGATACATGGGGAGAGAGAGAGAGACACGGAGAGTGAGATATGGGGAGAGAGAGAGACACGGAGAGAGAGAGAGAGACACATGGAGAGGGAGAGAGAGACACTGGAGAGTGAGAGAGACACGGTAAGAGAGAGAGATGGGGAGAGAGACACGGAGAGAGACACATGGAGAGGGAGAGACAGAGAGGGAGAGAGAGAGACACACGGAGAGAGAGACACAGAGTTAGAGGGAGAGACACACGGAGAGAGAGACAGAGAGGGAGAGAGAGAGACACACGGAGAGAGACAGAGAGGGAGAGAGAGAGAGACACACGGAGAGAGAGAGAGAGGGAGAGAGAGAGAGACACACGGAGAGAGAGACAGAGAGGGAGAGAGAGAGAGACACACGGAGAGAGAGAGAGAGGGAGAGAGAGAGAGACACACGGAGAGAGAGAGAGAGGGAGAGAGAGAGAGAGACACACGGAGAGAGAGACAGAGAGGGAGAGAGAGAGAGACATACAGAGAGAGAGAGAGAGAGACACAGAGTTAGAGGGAGAGACACACGGAGAGAGAGACAGAGAGGGAGAGAGAGAGACACACGGAGAGAGAGACAGAGAGGGAGAGAGAGAGAGACACACGGAGAGAGAGACACAGAGTTAGAGGGAGAGACACACGGAGAGAGAGACAGAGAGGGAGAGAGAGAGAGACACACGGAGAGAGAGACAGAGAGGGAGAGATAGAGACACACACGGAGAGAGAGACAGAGAGGGAGAGAGAGAGACACGGAGAGAGACACATGGAGAGGGAGACAGAGAGGGAGAGAGAGAGAGACACACGGAGAGAGAGACAGAGAGGGAGAGAGAGAGACACTGAGAGAGACACATGGAGAGAGAGACAGAGAGGGAGAGAGAGAGACACGGAGAGAGACACACGGAGAGAGAGACAGAGAGGGAGAGAGAGAGACACTGAGAGAGACACACGGAGAGACAGACAGAGAGGGAGAGAGAGAGACACGGAGAGAGACACATGGAGAGGGAGAGACAGAGAGGGAGAGAGAGAGAGACACAGAGTTAGAGGGAGAGACACACGGAGAGAGAGACACAGAGTTAGAGAGAGAGACACACGGAGAGAGAGACACAGAGTTAGAGGGAGAGACACACGGAGAGAGAGAGACAGAGAGGGAGAGAGAGAGAGACACACGGAGAGAGAGACACAGAGTTAGAGGGAGAGACACACGGAGAGAGAGACAGAGAGGGAGAGAGAGAGACACACGGAGAGAGAGACACAGAGTTAGAGGGAGAGAGGGAGAGAGAGAGACACAGAGAGAGAGAGAGAGACGTTGAGGAGAGGCATTGGAGTATGCCGGACTAGTTGTGTGCCCCAGGAGAAGACTGGACGTGGTGTGCCGTGCATGACACACACAGAGAGAGAGAACGAGAGATGGTTGAGATCGATACTTGACGCGGTATGGCGGGAGTTCGACGTGGAAGGCGAGATGTGGATCAGTCGCCTGGACATGCTGTGACCGGGTAGACACACACACACACATGAAGCGATGGGGCTGAGCAGGCCTGGACGTTGTGTGCCGCCGGGGGAGCAGACTGGACGTGGTGTGCCGTGCGTACGCACAGAGGAGGAGTTGGGTCCGAGGGTACGGGACTATGCGTGCCGCGAGGAGACACGGCAGGAGAGATGTGGATCAGTAGCGACGGTGGACTTGGTGTGCCGGGAGGAGAACTTATGTATTGGAACGGGATCTGTTATTTGCCTGCTTTGAACAAAATCAGTGTTGATGATGATGATGATGCTGCTGATGGTGGTGGTGGTGGTGATGTCGATGTTGTTGTTGTCGTCGTCGTCGTGAATTTGGGGTTTGTATGAACGTACAGACGCCGCGTGTACACATAGGACAAGGACACACGCAGATACACACACACACGCAGATACACACACAGATGCACACACGCAGATGCACACAGACAGATACACACAGATACACCCAGATATGCACACAGATACACAGATATACACAGATATACACGCAGATAGACAGATATACACACAGATATACATACAGATACACACACAGATACACACACACATGCAGATACACACAGATACACACACATTCACACATACACACAGATACATACACAGATACACACTGATACACACACAGATATACACACGGATACACACACGGATACACACAGATATACACAGATACACACACAGATACACACACAGATACACATACAGATACACACACATACACACACAGATACACATACACACACGGATACACATACGGATACACATACTGATAGACACAGATACACGTATACACACGGATACACATACAGCTACACACACAGCTACGCACACGGATACACACACGGATACACACACAGATACACACAGATACACACACAGCTACACACACAGATACACACACGCATACACAGTCACGCACACATATATACAGGATGCTTAAAGTAAATGTTAACACCTATATAGGACTATTGTTTTTAAGTGGAAAATAACGGGGACAAGGCACTCTGTAACATGATAACAAATGTAATGTTAATAGCTTCATAAAGTCAGTCTCCACTTGTTCGTCAGCGTTATCAACGCGGAATCTTGTTCCAGGAGGTGGTCTCCAGGTTGGTCTTCAGAGCCCGGAGATGCATTTATTGTGGTATTGTTGCAAATTCTCAGAAGAATGAAAACATTTTTGAAACACCCTGTACATGCACAGATGCACAAACAGATGCACACACTCCAATACCACACAGACTCCAATAACACACACACACACCAATACCACACACACACACACACTCCATTACCATACACACACTCCACTACCACACACACTCCACTACCACACACACTCCACTACCACACACACTCCACTACCACACACACTCCACTACCACACACACTCCACTACCACACACTCCATTACCACACACACTCCACTACCACACACACTCCAATACCACACACACACTCCAATACCATACACACACACCAATACCACACACACCAATACCACACACACACTCTCCAATACCACACACACTCCACTACCACACACCACTACCACACACAATCCACTACCACACACTCCATTACCACACACACACTCCACTACCACACACACTCCAATACCACACACACACTCCAATACCACACACACACCAATACCACACACACTCCAATACTACACACACACTCCAATACCACACACACACTCCACTACCACACACACTCCAATACCCCACACTCCACTACCACACACACACACTCCATTACCACTCACACACTCCACTACCACACACACTACTACCACGCACACTACTACCACACACACTCCATTACAACATAGACACTCCATTACCACACACACACACTCCAAAACCACACACACTCCATTACCACACATACACACTCCACTACCACACACACCCACTACTACCACACACACACCATTACTACACACACTCCACTACCACACACACACTCCATTACTACACACACCAATACCACACATACACACTCCAATACCACACACACCAATACCACACACACACTCACTACCACACACACACACTCCAATACTACACACACACACACCAATACCACACACACACTCCACTACCACACACACACACTCCACTACCACACACACACTCCACTACCACACACACACTCTTCAATACTACACATACACACACACGTGTACATGTTATATAAAATACAGACATGTATACTCATATATACACACAGACATGTATGCACATATATACATGAACATATATACACATGTACACATATATGTACATGCACCTATATATACATGCATACACATGTCCACGTACACACACGTACCAGCACGTACACACGTACACACACACGTGTACACACACACGCGTACACACCCGTACACACACACACGTACACACGTACACACACACGTACACACGTATACACACGTACACATATACACACGTACACACACGTACACATACACACGTACACATACACACACGTACACATACACGTACACACACGTACACGTACACACGTACACACACACGTACACATACTCACGTACACACACACACGTACACACACACACACACACGTACACACTCACGTACACACACTCGTGTATATGGACGCCAGTGGGTTTGTGTATTCTCTTGTCAGCTGTGCGCGCACGTGCGCGCGCGCGCGTGTGTGTGTGTGTACACGTGTTCGCGTGCAAA